ACAGACCTCACACGAACACACAGACCTCACAGGAACCTCACAGGAACACAGCTAGCCTCCTGCTAGCTGTTAGCAGCCTTTATATAAAGCGACTTCCTGTCTGCTTAAACGCAGCCAGAGCGCAGCTTCCCTCACAGTCGTCCCGGGGAACCGGCAGACTGACCTCCTCTCATCCAGCTTTTAAATCCTGAATGGGTGCCGGGAGGTTAGGTCTCCTCACTGCTAATGTTTTACAGAACCAGGTCATCCTGACAGCTTCATCAGGTGTCTAGATGTCATTTCCTCTTTGATAATCCTGACCTCATCTGGTTTAAACATTTTCCATCCCAACCTCGTCTGAAAAACTGAAAGCAGCTTCGTCCCTCGTGTCCATCATTTAAAAACTTTAACAAGACAATAAAATACCACAGAGACACGATGAGGGACAATCGAAGGACTTACGCTCTCCCAGAGTCTGCAGCTCCAGGGGGGCGCTGTACGCGCCGTAGTCAATGGGGGGAGGGGAGGAGGAGGAAGAAGAGGAAGTAGAAGAGGTTGATGAGAGAGAAGAGGAAGAAAAGGAGGAAGGAGCTGGACTTAAGAAGGGACGGATGAGGAAGACGTAAGTGGTTCCTGGTTTCAGGTTATGGACGCTGATCCGAGTGGCTGATGTCTTCACGGTGGAATAACTCTGATCCTTCTGTTCCTGCAGAGACATGAGGACATGGGGACATGGGGACAAGGAGGACATGGGGACATGGAGGACATGGGGACATGGGGACATGGGGACTCTTTTAACAGCTGCTCAGATCTGTTGATCTCTTTCATTGCAGTTTGTGACAAATGAAGACAAATCCAGCTGGACATAGATCCTTTGTCTTCATCAGATGTCCTCCATTTGAATGGAGCTAGTGTTTCTAGATGTTTAGGATCAGGTGTTCTAAACCAAACAGGCATCATTCAATCCTGTCTTTGGTTTCATCATTTTCTGCTGTTTGTTTGTTTGAGTGAAAACGCTGCAGGAACAACCGTCTAGTGAGAATGAAATCGGCTCCTAGTTCCTGTTCCTAGCACCTGTTCCTAACCCCTAGTTCCTGTTCCTAACCCCTAGTTCCTAGCTCCTGTTTCTAGCTCCTATTGTTTCTGGCTCCTAGTTCCTGTTCCTAGCACCTGTTCCTAACCCCTAGTTCCTGTTCCTAACCCCTAGTTCCTGTTCCTAACCCCTAGTTCCTAGCTCCTGTTTCTAGCTCCTATTGTTTCTGGCTCCTAGTTCCTGTTCCTAGCACCTGTTCCTAACCC